TTGCCTTGTATTTGTCAATTGATCCATTCACTTTCATTTTTCTTTTGAAAATCTACTTGTACTCAAGAGGTTTATAACCTGGTGGCAAATCCACCAATTTCCAAGTGTGATTTTACAAAATAGATTCAACTTCGCTGTTTACAGCTTCTTTCCATAAAGAAGTTTCAAGACTGGATATAGCTTCTTTAAAAGTTAAAGGCTCATTTTCTAACAAAAATGTTAGAAAAATTTGGACCAAAAGATTTTGAAGTTTTAGCACGTTTACTACGCTTAGGTTCCTCTTCCTCATTTTAATCTATCTCTTGCTCTTGTTCTTGATGATGTTCTTAATCCTGACTAGTAATAGCATCATGAAATCTTTTGTTAGTACTAGTTTCTTGTTCAATTTTATTTGGAAACACATGTTCAAAGAAAGACGCATTCCGAGATTCAATAATAGTATTTACATGCATTTCGGAATGTTTTGATTTATAAATCAAAAATCGATATGCACTACTATTCTTGGCATAACCAATGAAAATGCAATCAATTGTTTTAAGACCTATCTTAGTCTTTTTAGGACTAGGAATAGCTACTTTAACCAAGCACCCACACACTTTTAAGTATTTGTAGGATGGTACTCTCCCATGCCACATTTCATAAGGTGTTTGATTCACTTTTTTTCGTGATACTTTATTAAGTATATAATTAGCAGAAAGTATTACTTTCTCCCACAAGTTCTGAGGTAATCTGGAACTTATTAACATGGCATTCATTGTTTCTTTTAAAGTCCTATTTTTCCTTTTAGCAATTCTATTTTGCTGAGGTGAGTAAGGAGCGGTGGTTTGATGAATTATTCCATGTTCTTTACAAAATTCACCAAAAGGTAATTCATATTCACCACCTCTATCATTTCTAAGTTTCTTAATTTTCTTACCAAGTTGATTTTTAACTTCATTCTTGTATTGAATGAAAGTTTCCAAAGTTTCATCCTTGGTTCGAATTAAATAAACATAACTATATCTAGTATAGTCATTGTACGGGGAGCAAATATTCCGCGGACCCCGTACTCCTTTCGTCCAAGCTCCTTGTCTATCCGATTGACCTGTGAGCACAACGGCGGTGAGCTACCTAGCAGTGTGTGGTCGGAAAACCCCTCCGACGATCAAGTTAGCACACACTCAGAGATAGAGAGAGAGAGGAGAGAGTTTCTCTCACCAAATGAAGTTCTATGCCCAGCATGGGGGGCACAGTCATGCTTATATACTTTCTGCGTTCACCTCTACATTCATTCGTTTATTGACACGTGAAGTTACTCTCCTATCTGTCAGCGCAAATTCAGCTAAACACCACCTAATCAAACCGCCACTTGGCATTGGTGGGAACAGACAGCCCGGTGGAATCATCCCGGCCTCCTTCGACCGAGCTACTTAACAAGTCCAACAGTGCCACTCGCCGAGCTCCATCACAACCAAGCTCGGTAGCATTCCAGTACGGTCGAGCTCCAGACAGGTTAGGCCGGTCTGTGAGAGACCTTTCCGTCGAGCTACATGCGCGAACAATAAGCCTTAGTTGACAGATGATCATCTCGGCCGAATGGGCCCTGGACCTCAACCGAGAAAACCACTCTTGATCAGCCAACATTAGCTCAGCCCAAACACGCTCGGACCTCTTTTTAGCCCGGTCATTACCACGGCCTAAAGCCAGATTATGAAATCTCCCTCACAGTCATCTATGAAAGTGATAAAATATTTTTTCTTACCTCTAGTTTAAATTAATTTAAAATCACAAATGTCACTATGAATTAATTTAAATGGTTCTGTATTTCTTTCAATTGAACGAAAATGAGTTTTGAATAATTTTGCCTCAACACAAATTTCACATTTATGATTTAAATCAATGTCAAATTTAGGTAAACATTTCATATTAATTAATCTGCTCAAAGATTCATAATTAACATGTCCAAGTCTACCATGTCATAAATTTGAAGACTTAAGCAAGTAAGAAGAAGATGTATTTTTATTAATAACAGAGGGTATAACAGTCATTACATTCATTTTGAAAGGCCGTCAGACATGTAACATTTTCCTACATACATACCAGTACGGACAGCGAATTGCCTCTTAATTCTGTCTGCATTTGCGTGACTGGAATTACGTTACAAGGCCGGGCTAGACTTTTTGCTCGGTGGTTCATTTTGCTCGGTCTAGAAACCTCAAAGTTGGCAAACAAAGTCATCTCGTCAACTCGCTTCTTGGTGAGTAAAATCAGCTCAGCAACTTCTTGAGCGAGCAAAATCAACTTGGCAAGGACCTTCAAAGTTAGCGAGGAAAGCCAGCTCAGCAACTTGATTCTTGGCGAGTAAGATTAGCTCGGCAAGGAACTCCAAGGTCAGCGAGCAAGGTCAGCGAGACGACTTTCTTCTTAACGAGCAAGATCAACTCAGCAAGGAACTCTAAGGTCGGCGGGCAAGGTCCGCTCCGCGATTTGCTTCTTGGCGAGCAAGATTAGCTCGGCAAGGAACTCCATGGTCGACGAGCACGGTCCGTTCGACAACTTGCTTCTTGGCGAGCAAGATCAGCTCGGCAAGGAAATCCAAGGTCGGTGAGCAAGGTCAGCTCCGCGACTTGCTTCTTAGCGAGCAAGATCAGCTCGGCAAGGAACTCTAAGATCCGCGAGCAAGGTCCGCTCGACGACTTGCTTCTTGGCGAGCAAGATCAGCTGGGCAAGGAACTCTAAGGTCCGCGAGCAAGGTTAGCTCGACGACTTACTTCTTGGCGAGCAAGATCAGCTCGGCAAGGAACTCCAAGGTCGGCGAGCAAGGTCAGCTCGGCGACTTGCTTCTTGGCAAGCAAGATCAGCTCGGCAAGGAACTCAAAGGTCGGCGGGCAAGGTCCACTCCGCGACTTGTTTCTTGGCGAGCGAGATCAGGTCGGCAAGGAACTCCATGGTCGAGGAGCAAGGTCCGCTCGGCGACTTACTTCTTGGTGAGCAAGATCAGCTCGGCAAAGAACTCAAAGGTCGGCGAGCAAGGTCAGCTCGACGACTTTCTTCTTGGCGAGCAAGATCAGCTCGGCAAGGAACTCCAAGGTAGCGAGCAAGGTCCTCTCGGCGACTTGCTTCTTGGTGAGTAAGATCAGCTCAGCAAGGAACTCCATGGTTCACGAGCAAGGTTAACTCGGCGACTTTCTTCTTGGCGAGCAAGATCAGCTCGGCAAGGAACTCTAAGGTAGCGAGCAATGTCCGCTCAGCGACTTGCTTCTTGGCGGGCAAGATCAGTTCGGCAAGGAACTCTAAGGTCGACGAGCAAGGTCTGCTCGGCGACTTTTTTCTTGGCGAGCAAGATCAGCTCGGCAAGGAACACCAAGGTCGGCGAGCAAGGTCAACTGGCGACTTGTTTCTTGGCGAGCAAGATCAGGTCAGCAAGGAACTCAAAGGTCGGCGGGCAATGTCTGCTCCGTGACTTGCTTCTTGGCGAGCAAGATCAACTCGGCAAGAAACTCCATGGTCGACGAGCAAAGTCCGCTCGACAACTTACTTCTTGGCGAGCAAGATTAGCTCAACAAGGAACTCCAAGGTCGGCGAGCAAGGTCAGCTCGGCGACTTGCTTCTTGGCGAGCAAGATTAGCTCGGCAAGGAACTCAAAGGTTGGCGGGCAAGGTCCGCTCCGCGACTTACTTCTTGGCGAGCAAGATCAGCTTGGCAAGGAACTCCATGTTCGACGAGCAAGGTCCGCTCGGCGACTTACTTCTTGGCGAGCAAGATTAGCTCGGCAAAGAACTCCAAGGTCGGCGAGCAAGGTTAGCTCGGCGACTTGCTTCTTGGCGAGCAAGATAGCTCGGCGAGGAACTCCAATCTCCGCGAGCAAGGTCCGTTCGGCGACTTACTTCTTGGCGAGCAAGATCAGCTCAGCAAGGAACTCCAAGGTTGACGAGCAAGGTCAGCTCGGCGACTTGCTTCTTGGCAAGCAAGATCAGCTCGGCAAGGAACTCAAAGGTCGGCGAGCAAGGTCCACTCCGCGACTTACTTCTTGGCGAGCGAGATCAGGTCGGCAAAGAACTCCATGGTCGAGGAGCAAGGTCCGCTCGGCGACTTACTTCTTGGTGAGCAAGATCAGCTCGGCAAGGAACTCAAAGGTCGGCGAACAAGGTCAGCTCGGCAAGGAACTCCAAGGTCACGAGCAAGGTCCGCTCGGCGACTTGCTTCTTGGCGAGTAGGATCAGCTCGGCAAAGAATTCCATGGTCCACGAACAAGGTCAGCTCGACGACTTTCTTCTTGGCGAGCAAGATCAACTCGGCAAGGAACTCCAAGGTCGCGAGCAAGGTCCACTCGGTGACTTGCTTTTTGGCAAGCAAGATCAGCTCGGCAAGGAACTCCAAGGTCGGCGAGCAAGGTCAGCTCGGCTACTTGCTTCTTGGAGAGGAAAATCAGCTCGGCAAGAAACTCCAAGAGCGGGAGCAAGGTCTGCTCCGCGACTTGCTTCTTGGCGAGCAAGATCAGTTCGGCAAGGAATTTCAAGGTGAGCAAGGTCCGCTCCGCCACTTGTTTCTTGGTGAGCAAGATCAGCTCGGCAAGGAATTCCAAGGTCGGTGAGCAATGTCCGCTCCGCGACTTACTTCTTGGTGAGCAAGATCAACTCGGGAAGGAACTCCAAGGTTGGCGAACAAGGTCAGCTCGGCGACTTTCTTCTTGGCGAGCAAGATCAGCTTCGGCAAGGAATTCTAAAGTTGATTAAAACCATCAACAAATCTCTTGCTGAGCAAAATCTGCCCTACAAGGAATTTTGATCTTTCCGCCAAAATGATTTTTAGTTGCCCCTAGGACCGCACTAATTCCGCTTGGTGAGTCAAAAATGAAACAATTCTCAAGAAAATGGTTTACTTGTTTCATTACGCCAATGGCAAAAAAGGTTACAAAAATAAAACTAAGAACAAAACTTTTGATTGGCAGAGCTCGATGTTCTAGAAATAGATCGGCCATTTACAAACTGCGAGTTTTATGCCCCTTTTCCTCGGTCTTTTTACAGACGTCTTCCGAAAATTGAACTCCCTATATCTCTTCCATAGTGGTTTGCATGGCCATCATCTTGTCTGACTGTGTGAACCTTTCGCACTACCCTCTTGTTCTCTACTACCGGACTTACGGTCATGGTAGCTGTGGCTGCATCGTCTTCGACTCGAATGTGCTCATTAATGCGTTGCATGAGCAATTCCATGGTCGACGGTTGATTTATTGTGAGCGAGTCTCTTAGTCGATGTCCAATTGGAAGAGCGCTCTTATATTGAGTGATTGCAAGGTTGGTTGGGCAATCAAGGATCTCGTTGAAAGTCTCCCAATACTTAACGTTATACACCATCAAAGAGTCGCCTGGCTCCATCTTTACTCTCAAGAGATGGTCAATTTCCTTGGGCGTTTTGGTGTTTGTCTTAAATCTGGTGACAAATGCCTCTACCAACTGTTGCCACCCCTCTATGCTCTCCGTCGGCAGCCTCTCAAACCATTTTAGGCCCAACTCGCCCAAACTTGATGAAAAAACAAGGCACATGAGCGCATCGTTTCGTCTGTACCCAACCATAATCTGCCGGAAGTGGCTTACGTGCATATATAGATCAGTCTTCCCATCATAGAGTGTGAACTTTGGTTGATGAAACCCAGGGGGGAGCGGTGTGTTCTCGATCTCTACGGAAAAAGGGGTGGTGCTCAGCCTTGCCAACTCTCTGTCTGGTGGCGCATGTGCCGCCAAGCGTGGTTGTGGCATGGCGGCTTTTTCATTGACTCGCCCTCTAGGGACTAGCCACTGCAGTGCAGACATCCTCTGCGCCTCTTGCCGGCGAGCGCGCTCCTCCAACACATCCTCAAGTCTTTCGAACGGTTGGAGCGAGAATATCTCGACGCCGTCGTCGGGCGTGAGGGGTGGTAACTGCTGTCTTGCGTGCGAGATCCAACTCTGAAGCTTCTTGTGACGGAGAGTGAAGGGATGCGACGTCTATGAAGATTGCCGGAATGGCGGGAATGGGCGTGCTCACTGTGGTTTTCCACTCCAGTGATGCCCTTTCCCTTCATTTGGCATCTCATGACCTCTATTTCCATTGCTAGTTTCTTGATGATGGCATCTTGGTCTCTCAGCTTGTCTTCCAAGTGTTGAGTGTGTGAATCTTGCCGTCGGCGAAGCTCTTTTGGAATGACAGAGCGCCCGAAACTCCTTGCGTGCTTGTCTCGCGCATCCCTGGGAAGTGCTTGTGTGGAGGTCTCCAAATCAGCCATCGTCAGAATGGCAGACAGGCCATCTCTGCACCGAACGAACTCTGGCGTGATGCCGTCGATGGCGAACAACGGAATGTCGTCGTGGTTCTCCATACTAGATGACCGGAGAAGCTTAGTGGACAAGGTTTTGTCTGTTGACTTCGCACAGACGGCGCCAATTGTACAGGAAGGAGATATTCGTCACTGTCCGTACTCCTTGCGTCCAAGCTTCGTGTCTATCCAATCAACCTGAAAACACAACGGCGGTGAGCTACCCGGCGGTGTGTTACCGGAAAATCCCTCCGACGGCCAAGTTAGCACACACTCTGAGAGAGGGAGAGAGAGAGGAGTTGAATCAATGTTAAAGTTTCTCTCACCAATTGATGTTCCATGCAAAGCATGGGGGGCGCAGTCATGCTTATATATTTTTTGCGCTCACCTCTGTATTCATTCGCTTATTGACACGTGGAGCTGCTCTCCTATCTGTCAGCGCAAATTCAACTAAACACCACCTAATCAAATCGTCAGTTGGCATTGGCGGGAATGGGCAGCCCGGCGGAATTGTCTCGACCTCCTTCGATTGAGCTACTTAACGAGCCCAACAGTACCACTCGCCGAGCTCCATTACAACCGAGCTCAGTAGCATTCCAGTATGGCCGAGCTCCAGACAGGTTAGGCTGGTTCGAGGGAGACTGATCTCAACGAGCAAACAACGCGAACCGGGCTAGCAGAGAAGTTATCCTGGCCAAATCGGACCTGGGCTTTAATCGAGCGCACTGCACCTAGATTGTCCCAGCGTAGCTCGACCCAAACATGCTTAGACCAATTTTAGCCCAGTCATTACCACGACCCAAAGCCAGATTATGAAATTTCTCTCACAATACCGTTTTTGGTAAGTACAAACTTGTCACTTTCAAAAACTAGCCTAAATTCATTTTTACTCAACAAAGATCCAAAAACAAGGCTCTTGCGAATGTTCGGTACATGCAGCTCATTGTTGAGAGTGAGTTCCTTTCCAGATGTCATCTTCAGAATAATCTTTCCTCGTCCTTCAACTTTGAAAGTTGAGGAGTTGCCCATAAAAAGTTATTCACCGTTGTCCACTATAGAATAAGATGTGAACATCTTTTTGTCGGCACAAATATGGCGAGTAACACTAGTGTCCACCCACCACTCTTTAGGATTTTCAACAAGGTTTGCTTCAAAAAAAACTGCAGAAAGATTTAAGACATCGACACCATTGGAAATTTTATCCACTTCGGTCATATTGGCTTGAGTAACCTTCTTGCTTGATCTTTCTTTGCCTTTGCAAAAATCAGTTCCTAAGAACTTTTCTGGTTTTTTTACCATGATTCACTGGCACAGTCCTAACATAAGGAGGGATTGGTGCAATTGCAGCCACCATACCAGTACTGGTTTGAACATTAGTTTGACCACTTTATGTAACCATGAATTCTAAGTTATAAAACAAAATTAGAATTAAAATTTTATATTACACAGAAAATTAAACCATAAACACAGAATTTTAAATTCTGTAAAATAAAAGAAACAAGAATTGTAACTTTTATTTTCAATTAATTTTGAAAATAAAATAAAATGTTATTTAAAAAAATTAATTTCACACAGAAAATTAAATTTATGTAACACTTTAATAATTAAAATAATTTCTGAAAACAAAAAATAATTTTTGACCAACTTCACACCAGTATATTACTACTAGTTGTCAAAGAAAATAAACAGCACATTACTACTATCTGTCAAACAGTATATTATTATTATTTATTTTTCCAACCAGAATATTATTTTGTAAAACCACAGAAAATAATTTCTGTAAAAAGAAGAAAGAAGAAAGGAAACAAACGAAAAATTCTGTATAAACAGAATAATTCGAATCTGTCTTAAGATTGTTTGAACAATCTTCTGTGTAAAATAAATAAGTTGAAACATATCAAACAAAAATAAATAAATTACTAACAGAATTTATTTTACGAACCGAATAAATATTTACAAGATCAAGTCGAGTGTGTGACACTCTATCCCTAAGACAGATTCGCCCCGCTACGGTGTTTACGGATAAAAGGCGTCTATCTCTCAGGATACAATTATCTTCACAAATTGTAGTAACACTCCAAACAACTTGTACGACGAACAAAACCTGTGCTTTATACTCTCTTAATATTTTCCTAAAAAATAATATGAAGAATAATGTAACCAACGAGCAAAACCGGGAAGGAAAGAATATTTCAGAATATTTTTCAGGATGTTTTCGGATGTAAAAACTACTGGAATGAGTTCTACTATTTATAGGACCATTGGTGATGGTTGGAAAGATCTAAACATATTCAATTTCAAACTAAATAGGTACAAACAGTTTTCAGATCTGTTGGTAACTGCTGGACAGATTTGAATTTGTCTGGGCAGTTTTATAACTTTAAAACTAGTTTGAACCTGTCCAGAGTTCAACAGATTGAAAAACTGTTCGAACTGATTAATCTGTTGTGGAATTCGGATCTGAAAAGAGGCATAAATTTTGGACAAAAAAATTGAATTCAAATTCAAATTAGATTGGCGCAAAATTTCAATTAATTTTTCCCGCAAGAATTTTGGAAAAATTAATTTAAGAATCGACCTGACCCACAACCCACACCCAACACGACTCGGGTCGGACGGCGGCGCGTGTGGTGGTTTGGGCTAATGTTCAATTTATCTATAACACCTTCCTTCTACAAACTTGGGATGCCCGTTAAGACTCAACTCAAGCATTGTCACCTAGAACTTATATACACACATCAATTTTCTTAAGTTTCCAATGTGGGACAGGCCTTACAAGGAAATCCACATTTAATTCTTTAATTGCCCATTCCACGAACCTGAAAACGACGTCAACTTCCCATTCGCTCATAAATGGGTTTGACGAACCGTCTTCACTGTGTGACTTACCATGCGGTAAGGAACACGTCACCCTCTTTGGACACACTCCAAAAGACATATGGGACCCACTTAATTTTGGACTTAAAATTGACCAAAAATAAGCCTATAAAAACCAAATTTCCAACATGTAGTCCGCATTTAAAGTTTTTGTTTTATCATTTGTTGGTAGTAATTATGTTGGTTCGTTTAGTTTCTAGTTTTTAAATTATTATTTCATTTTTTGCACTTTTTGTTCATTTATTCATTCATTCATTATTTTTCTTTTTTTCTTTTTTTAATTTTTAAAATCTATTTAAATTAGACGATTATTATTATTATTATTTTGGTAAAACCTAAAGACAAAGAGGAAAAATAAAGCCTGATTTTATAAGATGTTGAATACAAATTGATCTTATTTTTCATGAATACATATAATAATTGAAGAGTCATGGACGAGAGTGTAGATAGAAAGAACAAAAGGTCACATATATATTATTATTTAGAGGAATTAGTGGTAATCGTGCTATGTACCGGATGTGAAAAAATTAATAATATATTTTTATAAAATCATATAAAATAATTATATTTTTGTACGCAAATTATAAAAATAAAAAAGATTAAGACTTACAATTTAAGTCTCACAATTTTACCACAATTTACGTATCAATTTTTAATTTGTCACAATCATAGAATTGCAAACTTGGACGAGCTCAACCCAATTAACTCGAGTTAAGCATGAATTTTTTTAAAGATTGGGTAGCACAATTTTTAATTCAATGAGGACCTATACAGAAATTTAAAAATTCAAATTAAATTTGAGTGGACTTGGACAGAGATATCAAATAACTTGAGCAACTCGAAAAAAATTATATGTATATATATATAAATATATAAAATTATTTACTAATTTATTTTTTAAAATAATAAATAAAATTAATTAAAAATATAATATTAATGAATAAAAGAAAAAGCGATATGCTTAAGTTTTTCCAATAGGTTTTTTTTAAATGTTTAAAAAATACACATTTTAGGTTTATATATAAGTTTATATTAAGAAAATCGAATAAGCTTATATTAAAAAAATTACTTTTTATAATGACATAAAATAATTTAAATATATTTTTTTAGAAATTATTTTTAATTTAAAAATTACTATAAAATATTCAAATAGAATAAAAATAAATTTCTTACAAAATAAAAGTATCTGAATAAAAAAAAGATTAAGAAGGAAATTTACAATGGTATTATCAATTGATTTGAAAATAATTCTGGATGAACAATAAATTCTCCCTTATTTTTTTAATAAAAAAAAATTTGCAAACCATCATTTTCAATAGAAAAATAACGTTTCTTTCTATTTTTGTTTTAGCAAAAGTTACTTTTTAGCAATTTGAACCAAAAGTATTTTTATTTTTATTTTAATTAACAATTGAGATTAAAAATAAAAATAATTTTTTTTAAAAAAAAGAAAGAAAGAAGAGGAGTTTGGTAAGTGCTAAAAAAGTTCAAATGAATAATAAATTATCACATTTAATCTCTATTTTTTTTATAAAAAAAATAAATTTCACCAACCATCACTTTTAATAGGAAAAAAAAAAACAAAGGTTATTTTATTTAATTTTAGCAAAAGTCACTTCTTAGCTATTTAAGCAAAAAACATTTTTATTTTTTATTTTAATTTATTTAATTGACAATTGAGATAAATAAATAAATAAATAAATAACAGAATTCACCATATTTGACAAGTGCTAAAAAAATATTCATTTTCTTAATATTTTTTTCTTTTGTGATTGATAGTTTAGACGGATACAAATTTTTTAATAAAATTTAAAATAAAAAAATTAAAAATAAAAGCTTTTAATAGTGGTTTATAATTTGAATACGTATATTTTTTTAAAAAAATTGTATTTAGATCAATAATATTATGACATATCATTATGACACATGTGCATATTGATCTCATTCTAATTGTAATAACATAATTTAAAGAAGAATTTAAATTTTATTTTATAATTTAATAAAAGATGCATAATTTAAGGAATGAATATTGATCTCATTCGAATTATAGTAATATAATTTAAGAAAGAATCTAAATTGAAAATTTTATTTTAAGAATATAAAATTAATTTATAAACCAATCATATTGTGACACATATTAACAAAAATTAAACAAAATTAAAAAATGAGAAAAAAAAATTACAACTTTCAACTTTAATAAAAGAAATTTTTTTTTATGGTCCTTGATATTAAGATTTTATAAGATAAATGGCATAAAATATTTTCATAATAGTTATGGTTCCTCAATATTTTAATAGAGAAAATCCGATTTAGAGAAATTGCGGCCCCAATATAAAAAAATTTCTCTGATATGATCACAGAGAAATTTCAAAATTTCTATTGTATGATCATAGAGAAATTTCATCGAAAGACCTTAGTTAATAAAAAAAAAAACATTTTGGACCTCTCATACTACACAAAGTTGGAGATGAATGTTTAACTAATTTTTCCTTAATAAAATGACCACGTTTTATAATTATAATAGTATATCAAAAAGTCTAAACGCACAGACAACCGAACACAGATCCAAACACAAAAACTGTGCATGGTGCCGACCGCTCAGAATTTATCGACTACGGTTGTTATGGTGTTGACCACAATTGTTATGGTGTTTTCCAATCGTCCAAACGGTCATCTTACTATTCATCTAATGAGACAAATTCTATATTCAATTTCTGTGTGCGTAACATCGCTGCCCCGTCCTTATCATTTCGTTTTGTTTGTGTAGATTTTGTGTTGGACCTTTGTTGAGACACCTCAAGACTCTCGGTTCCCTCAAAAGTTTACCCTATACTTTTTACTTCTTAATCTCATTTGAATGTGTGAAACTTTTTATTCTTGATTTATATATATATATATATATATATATTACTGTTGCGACAGTATGGGTGCTTTAACTGTCATATTATTATTATTATTATTGTTGTTGTTGTTCTTACTAGGAATACAATAGGACTATTGAAGTTAAGAAGGTAGTAATTCTAGGATAAATAGCTAAATAAATGAATTAAAATATACCAAAGAATTCCAAACCTCATAAATTTTAGGTAGCTATTGGACTCCAATTAACAGGGGGGAAAAAGGCCAGCACAAGTCTGCTCTTAAATAAGCACTTAACATTACCTCCCTCAAACATTATATTAATCTCAAGTCCTTCCTAACATTCTCTTTCACCATTGTCTGCTCTTCAACCTTTCTCCAACCAGACACCCACTTTCACCCTAGTCCTTCTCAAGTTCTCAGGCTAAGCTCTCTGAGTGTCTGCTCTCAAGTAATTGTCCAGGCATCTCTGGCTCCTCTTGATCGCTCTGTTTTATACGCAATTCACCTTTGTCCATCTCTAATAAAGTTTTCCACTGCCAGGTACCTTGCTCTAAGTGAGCCAATAAAGATACAAGGAGCAGAGCAAGATAGCATACAGAGGTTGACCCAGGGTACAAGATTCATGGTCCTCACTGTGAGTATCTTCCTCCTTTTTAAAATCAACTTGTCCAAAGACTGAAATTTGAAACACAAGTATCAACCTTGACTATTGTAGGGATGTTCCCAAAAACAAGAAAAGAAAAAAGAAACAATAAATACAAAGAAAAATAAAGTAGGCTTCCTTGAGCCTAGTTCCACCCTGCTCGGTCTGAATTCTAGATTTTTTGACCTAGCAAAGGAAACTCTTAACAGAACAACCACACCGTTTCCTTCCTAGGCACAAATGGCCAAACCAACACTTGCAACACCACGTCAAAGCAAGTCCCAAAAAATGCGGAAAAGTAATGTGAAAGTTGAATCACTAAGCATCAGACCTCAAACAACCATCTTCAGACTCACCAAATAACTCTCTTCACCTAATAGATCACAGAATGGGTACAATTAGGGTCTAGAGGTTGTCAAGCTGCTACTACTGGTCCCACCTGTACGGTTCTGTTCCCCAACCCTAGATGCCAAAGCAAGAACTTCGGGTGACATTTCCCAGCTTCCGCTTTTCCTGCCCCAACTGGAGCGCCTTGGATGCATTCCAGCACGATCTCTCTCATCTACAGTAGTTCTTATTTCTGGAGAGATTTCACCCAGTCCACCATTCTTAATATTCAGGCCATCATTGCTACTAAGTTGTCCTTCGCAGTGATCTAACCCAGACCCCACATCTCCCCAAACCGCTTTCCTCCCTATTTCTATGTCCTCCACAGCTTTCCCCGTGTTTGGACTAACAAAACCTCCACCCAGTGATGGAGGTAACCCTGGTTCCCTCGACACCTTTGCCCTGAAATTATTTTTGGATGGTGGGACACTGGTGCAGAATATCTCCTTGAAGTTTTGCACCACTCCTTTGTGATAGGGGTTGGCTCGCCGATCGTATCGAAATCTGAAATTCTCATAAGTAGTCTGAAAAAACAAGTGCAAATGTTTCTTTTTAAAATTACAGCTATGAATATAGCAATTTAATTTTTTGTTTTTGTTTTTTAAGGACCATTAGCTTACCTGATTTGTACTTATGAGATACAAATGAAAGATGGTGAGGCCACCAACAAACCACACTGATATGAAGGTGTAAACTATTAGGGCAATAGAAGCAGGGGTCCTGATCATTGCTTTCCATATTGTTATCTCCTCTGAATCCATAATCCTCTTAATGTAAACCCAGCAAATGCTAAAAACATATATAGAAAGAAGAGTGGTAGAGAAGACAAACATGAAGAAGAATCGATAATTCCGCTGCACCAAGTGTCAAAGGTTCTGATTAGTTAAATATCTATGGAATCAGAAAGTTAATGGATCACTACAATCATACTGGTGAAGATGATAAGTGGGAAATCATTTAACCATAACAAAAACTTCCAAACCAAGTATTTTGAGCACCATTATAAGAATGTCACAGTAAAACATACACATCTACAAGCACAACTGAATATTTCTCAAATTAAGAAGCAAGAGAATCTCAGGGAGAAAAGAAAATAAAATAGAGATATATCCTATGAATTTAAAAATTTTCAACAAAAGAATTTGGCTTCAAGTTAGATCAAGCAAAATTCTGTTATGTCAGGCTTAGAATGGGTAATTGCAGTTGCAATATAGGTTTCTAGCAGTTACCTCAGTTTATTGTAAACCTACAACTATTTTCTTCTCTGGACAGCAAAAAACATATATTAAAGACAATTCAACCTAAATCCAGATATTCACAATGTTTCTAAAATAGAAACAAAGAGTGAAATTTTGCTTCATTTCAGCCAGAAATTTTTGGTTTTCACAGCAACTGACATGAATCATGTATGGAATCTCAAAAATTCAGGGTTTCAACCAACACAGAGTACTACTGATACTGAGGCATTATTCTCGTAATTGGAGTGCCGCCAGGGCCAATATGATGCAGGACAGATTCGAAATAGGCCTAGGTATGAGCAAAAACACAAATAACAGGGCTGTTTTGGGGGTTGTGAACAGTAAATATGAACAGTAGACGTGAACAGTGATTTGTAGGAAGTAGAGGAAGGGTTAAAGAAGGATAGATCTAGATATCACACCTAGAAAACCCAAGGCATCACACCAATGGGCTCTTTAGCATCACACTAAAGAAAGATTGCATCAGCACAATCATAGAAGCATAAGCTTAATTTTCATTCATTCCATTCATAAATTGCCACAAGACTTACAATATAATTTATACTCACTTCATCTTGATTCTATGATGCAGGACAGATTCGAAATAGGCCTAAGTATGAGCAAAAACACAAATAACAGGGCTGTTTTTGGGGTTGTGAACAGTAAATAGGAACAGTAGACGTGAACAGTGATTTGTAGGAAGTAGAGGAAGGGTTACAGAAGGATAAATCTAGATATCACACCTAGAAAACCCAAGGCATCACACCAATGGGCTCTTTAGCATCACACTAAAGAAAGATTGCATCAGCACAATCATAGAAGCATAAGCTTAATTTTCATTCATTCCATTCATAATTTGCCACAAGACTTACAATATAATTTATACTCACTTCATCTTGATTCTAAAACTTTCCAAATTAAATGACATGACTAACTTAGACTCCCTAGGACTCTTTAATGCATTAATCATGTGAAAGACTCTAGAAGACTCTCTGACCAACTAAATAACCCAAAGACCTTGACTAGAAATTTAAAGACATTTGACTTGAGAAACTCAAAAGACACTTTTAAATAAATCCCAAGTCTAGTTAATCTCCCAAGTAGGCCTCACATCATCTAGCATATGCCAAATTAAGGCTTGGGCCTTAGAACCGTTGGATCCACGCCTTTTATAGACTTTGGCTGCTGCCATTTTCCATCACAATATTACTAGGGACAAGCAAGGGAAACTTCTTTTGAACATTACACAATTAAAAAGGTTGGAGACTAATCTTCAGCAAAGGCAAAAGTTTCTGGCTTAAATATAGCCTATGAATGCTTGGGAAAAGAAAAGGCAACAAAGGATTTAAATTAAACAGATGGATGAGAATATTAAAGTAGTCATTGAGGCAATAAAAGGCAAAACAATTAGTCCTAGGAGTACTGGTACAACTGGCCCTTTAAATTGTGTACTTGTATTGGAAAAATAGCACAGGAGGACCTTAAAATAGTTGGAGTTCTAACATACTTTGTATTCTTTGATTTCTGATAGTTTAAACCTATGTTATTTGAATCGTACAATTCGCGATTAGTGGATAATCGATAAGCACAGGTTGTGTGAATCGCAAATATCTATGAATCGTAGGTGAATCGGTCAATCGGTGAACCGAATCGGTGAATTGCTAAAATCGATATTTGGCTTTCTTTTTTGCTTTTTTATTGTTGGAAAAGGGTTCACACAAGTCTTGAGGATTACTATGCCATCTTTTGACTTTTCTAGGCTTACATAATTAAGTACTTGCATTTATCAAATGAATTTTTTGAAGGTATCAGGCGAGACTTTAGAAAAAAATTGAAAATTTTGATTTTTTAACCTTATAAAAAGTTAAAAAAAGGAAAATTTACCCATAAGTCCTAGTTTTTGAAACGTTGAACCATTTAGTCCTAAAAGTTTTCTTATGCTCCATTTAGTCCCATTTTTACATCAACATGATGTGAATGATGTAAATGATCTGATGTTTCATTCTATAATTTCAAAATTTATTGAAATCTGATGAACATTAGATGTTTTTCATCCTATATTTTCAAACATTATTGAAATTTGATGAACATTAGATGTTTGAAATCCAATGTTTGTAACATGACTCTGATGTTATTAACATTGTATCTGATGTTATTAACATTGTAATGGGACCTTTCAGTCTATAAGAAAACTTTTAGGACTAAACAGTGCATAAGTTATTAATTTGGGATTTATTAGTGCATCCCCCTTAATACATTTGTTGTTGAATTATTGTTATTTTGAAATTGAAAATTTTTCTTTGTTTGCTTTCTTTATTAAGAATGGTTGATAAGAAATAGTATCTAAAAGGGAAAATGTGAAGTGGTAAATATGGGAACTTCTTGCCTAGACCACATGATCGTTATTTAAAATAATATTTTCATTGATTTAACTCTAAATATTTCATATTTATTAGATAATCATATATTTAATATCTAAGTGTGTGAATATATTTTTCTATGTAATTTAAAAAAGATGACCGAATCTTTATGATTCACGATTTGATTTGATTTGATTCGATTCGATTCGATTCGCAATTCGGTATAATATCATTTCGATTCACGATTCAAATCCTGATTTGACAACTATGGTTTAAACTTTAAAGCAAAAAAGGGAAGGAAAAAAAAAAAAAAAAAAAAAAAAACACACTTCACATGTGCCCAAGCTCCCCAAACCAATTATTCCAGCACAGAAGCAGCTTCATCATAAATAACATGACAGAAATAAGCACAACTATAGGACAGACAGTCAACTACCAATGCATAACAAAATAATTTAAAAAGAACACATTTCTTACCAACCCAATACACTGCCCAACCCAAGGGCAGTGGTGGTCAAATCGTTCGACACAATTGTTGCAGATTGAACAGTGTGAACAGCGGGGAGGTCTATATAGCATGCAGGTATCGCAATACTTAATCTTCACGGCAATCCCATTCACCAATACTTCCTTAATGCGAGGCAGGCGCAACTGTGGGGTTTGTCCACCACCATCTGCACTCCCATCATAGCCTTCTGGTTCTGGAGGGTGTGAATTACGAGGAATGATGCCGGGATCTTGTCCAGATGTTAGCAGGAGAAGAACTAAAATCTGAAAAGCCCAACATATTTACCAGCTTGAAGTTCAATGTTACATACACAAAATGTGAAAAGTAATTTTCTAAGAACTTGTGCAGACATGGTTGCATGCATGTGGGTGGCTGAGAAAGAGGGAGAAAACTCACGTAAATGGTGAAGACAACAGCCACAACCATAATTGATATTCCCAAGTGATGAGAGAAATCATCCATCAATTTTCTAGCAACAAAGATACAGAAAATTGTGACTGGAGCAACAATAAGAAATATGGTCAGCAGCATTGACCTTACATCTGGTCCAAATATAAACCGTCCTTGGAAGAAAAATATCTGCAACCACGAGTAAATAGATGATTAATACCCCAACAAAACCATTATATTGTCCATTCCATTTTCAATACATGCTACAAGCCTACAAGGGAAGGGAATGTACAAGATTCAACTTAGAATTATGACAAGAGTGTGTGACTCTTACTAATCACGATAGGAACATAGGGAAGGACAAAAATAGAAAGAAATAGGAAGTGCAGTATTCAATACAAGAGAAACACAGTAATAAAATTAAATCAACTAAAAAATAGTTCTCTAAACCTTTACAAACCACACACACACACACACACAGAGACTGCATTGCCAAACTGGCATAATTGACATAAGGCATTAAGGCTGTGTTTGATTCATGGATAGAGATTTGGAAAAGGAAAAGGTAAAGGTAGTTGAAATGTGAATGAAATATATCTACATTTCACATGTTTTTTCTCTTTTCCTTTTCAAATCCCTACCCAAATCAATAAACCAAACACAACATAAGAAAATGAGAAGCACACAACATCAATCCAGCTGTTTAGAGAATGAAACCAAATTGTTTGCATTGTCTTCCCAACAAGTTCCACTAATACAGCCTGTCAACCTCAATATAATAGGAACTTGACATGTTTATTAATTTATCAAATGAATTTGTTTTACCACAGTGCAACTAAAATACAAAACACAATCCAATTGCAAGCTCACAGCCAAACCGATCAACACCCCCCATTCAGATACAGATAGATACAGAACCAATAATAGTAAAACATGTATGTAATCACAAAAATATAAAATTTCTTCAGTCGTAAAACCCCCATTCTGCAAAACCTACATTGTTTAATTGCATCCTAATGGGAAAAAAAATTACAAAGGAAAAACATAAAATTAAGATTCCAAAAAAAAAAAAAAAAAAAAAAAAAAAAAAAAAAAAAAAAAAAAAAAAAACTAGAGAGAGAGAGAGGGAGGGAGAGAATTTGCTGAACCAGATGTGTGATTTAACTATAAAACTTACCAAAATCACTTAGCAAGCAAAAAAAATATATATATATTGGCTTGTGACAATTAAACAGATATATTGGTAAAGTGAAAAAAAAGAAAAGAAAAAAGAGAGAGAATGAAACAAAACCCTAGAAAAAGTAAATAAAAACATACATTGCTGCCTTTCCAAGACTGGTAAATACGTAAATCATTAATGCGTCCGGAAATCGGATCTGAGTGCTTGGGAGGAGGAACCACATACATCTCTGTTCCTCTGTCTGTCTAATAATAAAAAGTCTCAAGTTTTCAACTTCAGATCTCAAAAACAACTTTAAAGAGCCGATACAAAGTAAAAGTACAGTATCCGATGGATGAGTTCAAATGTAGAGTTCTCAACTTTCCGGCAATTAAGTAAGACCAAAATGCGTCGTCAGATTCCGGCGGCCTGAACTCAACTGCTAGTGAGTGAGTGTGGATTATGCGGGCATGCTTTAGAGAGAGAGAGAAAGAGAAGACTAATGGCGAGGCTTTGCTGGGTGGACTTGTATATGTCACTTTTCCTTCTCATGGACAAAGAGATTCTTTTCTTTTTCTTTTTCTCTTTCTCGGTGGCCTTTACAGCTTACAAACCAGGTTAGAGCACCCACACCATATTCTTTTAGGCCAAGTTTAGGAAGACTAAATAAGTGTACTTTTTGTCTTTTTGGATTAAAAAATTGAGATTAAAAATATGGATGTTTGGGTTAATTTTTTGACTTTTTATGGAAAAATGTGTAATAAAAAATTGTAAAAATTGGTTTGTAGAGGAAAATTTGAATTGGGAGTTGTGCAGCCGTAATTGTTGACTTTTGGTGAATAGTATTAACTTTTTAACTTTTTGAGTAACTTTTTGACTTTTTGGCTTATTTGGGACTTCCCAAACTTAGCCTAATGTCTGTTTGTTTGGTGGGTCAGAGGAGGGATTGGAGTTAATAGTGAGGAAATATCTATAATATTATGCCTCCGTTTGGGAAGTGGGTTGGCTTTTTGGCTTTTTGGCTTTTTTGGCTATTTTAGCCTGGGCTAAAAAGCTTGGTTTGGGAAGGACTTTTTGACTTTTTGGCTTTTTTGGCTTTTTTTGTGAGAGAAGAATGTAATGATTATGGGTTGGATGTGATGTTTTGTTTGTTATGGCTAAAATAGCTTATTTTGTTTTTTGTGGCTAAAATAGCCAAAAAAGCCTCAAAAACATCTTGCCAAACAGAGGCTATATTTGTTTTGAGAGACGAGAAGGGAATTTTGGCCCCGTTTGTTTTGGGTGAAAGAGAGGGTATTGGGATTGCTAATACCAAGGTATTAGTAATAGCCTTGTTTGTTTAGTGAGTTTTGGATTATGATGGGCCTCTCTAAAAGAATTTAGATAGATTTTCAAGACTTGGTATTAGAAAAATGGTTCGGTAGATTAGAAATTTTTATTTTATTTTATTTTTTATATGTTGGGTATTTTTTTTTTTAACATTAATGTTTAATTTTTTATATTTTTTGTTTAAGTAAAAATCATTATTTTATTTGTTTTATTTTTTTCTGAAATTTTTTTATTTTATTTTTATTTTTTAAAATTTTTTTACATGTTGGGCATTTTTTTAAAAATATTAATATTTAATGTTTTTGTATTTTTTTATTTGTTTTATTATTTATATTTATTTTATATAAAAATAATTTAACAATCTCTACACAAATAACTATCATCAAAATAAACACAATTTTACTTAATTTCCTCACTATCAATTCCCTCACTATTAATCCTCTCACTATCAATCTCCTCCATTCTATCTCTGAAAACAAACTAGATCTAATTTTTTAGTTAAATTAAACTTATTTCATTATTTTAGCTACTTATCTTTTACATTTACTACATCAAACTCTTTATTCTAACTTATTCTTATTAAATATTATTTTCTTATTATGTTTGTTAATCTTTTTTTTATTAAATTGATAAATTACCAACCAAATAATTTCTAAAAAAAGCAAAATAAATAAATAATTGCCCTTGACTGGTTGATCGGCCGGACGTTTGGCCAAACTTTTGAACGAACATCCGGTAACATACAAATAACGATGAACAGTGCCTCGTTACAATAAACAAGTTACTGTAACCATCGTAAATTTTGATGAGTTATAAATGAATTTGCTAGAGTTAATTTTTTAAAATTGTTAACTAAAAAATAATTTTAAAAAACTTGATACAGATGCTCTTAGAAAGTGTACTGTGGATTTGCAACACCACATCAACCGGATGATGTGCGGCCTTAAATCAATTATGTTTACTAAGAAAATTTAAAATGTAATTTAAAAATAAAATATATTTATATTTATATTTTATTTAATTTTATACACTTTTACTTTTTTTTTCTTTACAAATTTATTTTTTTAAATTTTCCAACCAAATATGGCACTAATCATGCCAGGTTATCAATTTTTTTTTTTAACCACTCCGGACGGTGGACCATACATATTCAAAATATTTACTACTATTAATTTTAAAAACGTCTACAGTATTATTTTAATTCATAATTTTTAAAAACCCTCATATAATTTTGTATAAAAATGTTGTTCATATTTTTTTTTCTAGTGCACCAATAATTAGTGAATACCTGTTTTGACAAAATTTTAGATAATAATCTGTTTTTTTGTAGTGAAGACGTTTTAAGATAATTTTCCTTAGGCTTATGTCTTTAAATATGTGATAACCATAGTAGAACTAATTACTATTTTACTAACTTTGTGGAGGCCGAATTTAATCAAGGAGGTAGAAAGGCTAACCAGGCCGGTTGGGATATTGGGCCGAAGACAAGTCGGCCCTACTTGGAAGTCCATGAAGCCGCATATACGAATTTGCCATATGAAAAGCCGAATGGGAGCCAACACACTCAGCTGGAAGACCGACTAGATAATTATATGTAAGGTCAAGAGTGGGCTCGACCTTCAGCCCAGGCGTAATATAAAAAGGATGAACATTAGCCAAAAGAGAGGTATGTAAGAAAAGAACGATAACTTGTGATACAAGAAAAATTTGAGAGAATACTAATTTGCTCGTCAGAGTGCTAATTCCGGCACCCTCGACCGGAGCGTTCATTCCTCTTTTAGGTATCAACTAGAAAATCAAGAGCATCTGCTTGGATTATAAAGGGTATTGCCAAACCACTTCACTACAATTGGCACCGTCTGTCAGAATACTCAAATACGATCATGGCAGACGCAACAAACGATCTTATGTTCGTTGTTAACGATGATACACCGAGAGATGACGTTACACCAAGAACTATGCTTGGTCCGGAGAATATCACCGCCCGAAGGGCCTTGAACTTCGACCTAGTGGCCCAAACTTCGCCCTCAACCTCGATGCAAGAAACCATGCAGATGATCATGGATCAAGTAAAACGAAGCGAACAACATCTAGAAGATATAGCGGCTGATAACGAACGCCTACGAAAGGAGTTGGTCGTTGAGCTAGCCAAATCCCAACAAACTGCACTGCGTCATGACCGGGGATGGTCACCAGAGAAGAAGAAAGATAATCGACGGCATCAGCACTGGAAACCCGATAATAGCAGTGCCTCTTTCGACTCGTCATCTTAAGAACCCAAGAAAAGGGGGCGAGTTGACGTGTCCAGCTCATCTAAGGAAAGCCCGTATGTACGACACCGGTGAGAAAAAAGAGATGATGGTTCGGAGGATAAAGATAAACACGATCCTTTTGTATAACGCATTGTTAGGGCTGTCTTGCCTAAAAAGTTTAAAGCACCAACTTTCACTTTGTATAACGATAAATCAGACCCTACGGATCACATTCGTTATTACAAAAAAGCGATGACGTTGCATGCTGATGATGAAGCACTCATGTGCCGAATGTTTCTGAGCAGCCCGGGACCACTGGCTGTTAGGTGGTATTATAAACTGGAGCTGGCCTCAGTGAAAAGTTTTCATCAGCTTCAAAAATCCTTTAGGACAAGATTCATCACTAACGAGGTCCAACTAAAGCAAGCCGACTCTTTCTGGGCAATGCAAATTAAGCCAAGAAAGACCCTCCAAAAGTATTCGGTGCTACTAGGAATGTTTCAACTTGGTGGACGATGCCTGTAATGACTTCATGGCCATCACCGCCTTTAAAATAGGATTACACCCAGATAGCCCAAGGGTAAGTGGGTTGAAGAGCTGCCTAGTGTGTTGAGGGCTCACCGCACCACTCCGAGGCATGGAGAAACGCCATTCGCCTTGTGCTTCGGGACAGAAGCCATCATCCCTCTTGAAATCGGCCTATCCACCTTGAAATCAAAGGCTTTTGATACCGGGTGCAATGACATGATGTTGTCTTGGAGCTGAATCTGCTTGAGGAGCGCCGAGATCGGGCTCTCGTAGGCATGGCACGATATCAACAACAGCTCGCCAAGTCATATAATCAGCGCGTGCAGCTACGCCGTTATGCCTCCAGAGAATTGGTCCTCAAGAAAGTGTTTCCTGCAACGAAAAATCCGGCAGACGGAAAATTAAGCTCCAATTGGGACTGCCCCTATAGACACCCCATTTTTGACGGCCCTTACGACTTGGACACCATTGCATGCACACCCGATGATGAGTTTATATGCTCGTTAAGTGCTCGAAGTCCTTAGCAGAATGCCACAGCTTTGAGCCTTCTAAATCATGCACCTCTGTTGCCTTGTTTTGGACCAAACCCTGTGTTCTTCAAGCCTGCAGCTTCTGGTGGCCTACCGACCACCTTATTAGGCTGCCAACCATCACTTTTGGGCTGACGGCCACTAATGTGGCTTGCCGGCCACCATTGATGGCCGGCCGGCTACTAGTTTCTTTTGCAGATATTAAGTGACAGCTTTGCTAGCTGTTTGCATAGATGCATGCATCTGCACCCACGTGTAGGGCTAGATATCCTTGTAGGGAATTCATGTTTTCTATATATAGGAGACCTTTCTCTCATGTTTTAAGGTTAGAAAAATTTCCCTCTCTCTCTACAATTTTCTCTCTCTCTAGCAAATTTATGTACTTTTGCCTACAAATTCCTAACCTTTGCCTATACACCATTAACCAAACCTTCTCATCTTTGAGCTGAGATATTTTTTAGCTTCATTTGAGCTCTTGAAGGGCGTGTTGTCCTGATTTTGTTGCTTGAATTGCTTATTCTCTTCAAGAGGTATAAGGCTTTGCCTATTTGCTTGTTTTTTCTACTATTATTCTTGCTATTTTCCAACTGATTTTGAGCTGTAAAACTTCTGTATTTTTGGGCTGAAACTTGGGTTCTAAGGCCATTAAAGGTTAAGGGATGCTCTACCCTTCTTTGTACCTTATTTTGGAGGTCTTTCCCCTTGTGTTTTCCACCCTTTTACTATATTTTTCTAAGCTTTTAAAAACTGGTTTTTAAAGCTTTTTTAGTGACCAAAATCATGTTTTGAAGTCCAAATTTGGAGGGGTTAGCCTCCCCTTCTTGTGTCTTGCTTACTAGCTTAATTTATGCCAAGTTTTAACATATTAATCTAGCTATTTTCAGCTCAATTCCAGCATGTTTTAGGACTTATTTTTAGACTATTTTAGCACTGTTTTGGGTTGTTGGTCATTTGAGCTTTGTTTTGCATGCTTGTAGTGTAATTGTCCTCATTATTTT